TTCACTCTGTATATCCTTATTACGTTTGTGTACAATATTCTATAGTATTAAAGTGCATGTTGGAACACCTTACATATACATTAAACTGTACACATACATAATACATAATTCATGAATCGTGTGTTTATATACTTGCTGCACCGCTGCAAATTTTCGCGGGTGAAAACGAGGTGAAATTTATTTAAATTGCATGGAACAATTTGTTCAATTATACAACTTACGGTGTGCTTTTTCAAAGCGATAAACGTACCCTATATGTACCGGCTACCTGGTCGAGGATAGGTATAAATTAGGTATACCTATATACTATTATATTGTATTATACTCGAATCGCGTATCCTGATACTTGGCATATATACACGGGTCATATAAAGTAATGTACCTACGCTATTATCGGATAATTTATCGACGGTTATACGACACAGTGTCTTTATCTTAAATTACAAGCGGAGAAAATTTTAAAACTTTTTACGCTCGCACTCCGTTTTTAGAACACCACCCGTTATATCCTTGGTCATAATGTGACCTGGAGTGGTTTTTGCGGTGAGGGAAAATGATCGTAAAACACGGTTTCGTCACAACGAAACAATTTGAAACATTAATTTGACGACAGCCAAACATAGGGACATTGTGGATTCTTGGCCGCAGAAGCAGTTGGAAGGCTCTACTCTGGTGGTGACTCCAAATAGTATTTACCATAATTTTGCAAATATATCGCTAATTCGCTGATAATAATGTAATCTAATACTTGTAGTATTACCTAGGTGTTCGTATTCAGGTAGATGGTCATCGTTCACCACATGTGTAATCGACATTGATATATTTTATCATACATGTACCAATGTGTTAAGACTATCTTAAGATCTTTATATTATATTGATATTTACAATTAATGTATTTACAATAATGATTTCCCCCCCCCCCCCAAACATGTTTCCGACTAAAATATTGAACAAGAAATTTCAACCACCTCGCTGACCCGGTACTAACACACAAATTAAATACTATAATATTCCCGGTTTTATCAATATATTATACAATATTATATATTGTATATAAAATAGCTGCAGGGATTTTTTTTTTTTGTTCCAGTTTTCCGACGAGGCAATTTACATTTTTTCACACAAAATCACTCAAATACCTCGCGCATTGTCACCACGTCACCCTTATTCTATTTCTTAGCTGAATTCCGGGAATACTTTTAGTATTGACAGCAGACGTTTTCCAAAAATTAAGGTTGTTTCTGAACTGTGACCAGGTGCACAGCAACTTTATATGGTACAAAACAAAATACGTGTGGTTACCGAAGTGCTATACCGATAGGGAAAATCTTAGGTAACGGTTAGACGTTTAATTTATGCAATAGAAAATAAAACTCTCTACGAGACTTATATATAATATAAAAGTGTTTTAAAATAATGTAAAAACATTTAAAAATATTATGGTTAGTTGATTTTAATAGTTAATAAAAATAATATACAAATATGTATTTATCACTCTGGCAACATTTATAGTAGTAGATAATACCTCACCTATATGCAGATATTATGTTGCGATTTGGGATATACCAACCAAACATTGCTACTTAAGGACTCCAGAAGATTGAACTGATATAGTTTACAGTCCCCACCGATTTCGTAACGAATGTAATATACATATATAATATATATATATATATTTATTCGGTTAGATTTATCAGAGCTTCTAATTGAGGCCTGCAACGTATGTGCGTGGAACGATCAGCGTAGAGCTTTGGAGGGGTGGTGGGGTTGTCGAGAAACTCCGCTTTGTACACAGTGGTGGAAAAAAAAACATAAAAAATCTGCTCGTTTGGTTTTTTTTCTTTAACAATTAAAGGCATGTATATTATAACACGAATATGCGGTCATTATAATGCCAGTCCTGCAGTTAAAATATGTTTTCATTCGTGGTTAGACATTGTCATATTATTATTATTATATTAATATACAGTGTTCGGTGAATAAATTATGTCTGCGGCAGTTGGGCCGCGCGTAATGGTTTTATTGTTTTGTTTTGTTTTTGTTTTTGTTTTTTTTTGTTTATATTCGCTTTTACACGAACGTGCTGAATAGTTAGCATTTTACAAGTTCTTTCGATGTTATCCGTAAAAGGTATGGATTAATGCTATATCGTTGTTCGGTGTACGTTAATATATATAATACATATAGTATAGCTACAGGTACATATATGGAGTCCTACGTCGGTCGCCACACGTCTTTATAGAAATGTAAAAATGACGAAATAAAAAGAATAAAAGTTCAAGTGTATCTACAGGACGATTCTCCACACCAATAATAGTGCTGAACGGATATGTCGATATAAGATTAGATAACAATATTGCGCAATGACTTTCCTCGCCTATATAGATGTTCCAGGTATAATATACTATAATAACGCGGTTTATTATTTTTTTAAATAAAATAATATATTTTAATCTATTGCGCACATGACATACTGATATGCAGACACGCAGTAATACCATTGCGATACGCGCGAGAGGACGAAGTGAAAAGATTCTTCGTACTATTATTCGGTCACCGCATAGCATAGAATACTATGGGTTTATTTGGAAATAATGATTATTATAAGTGTTGGAAAAACAATTTAAACCACTCTTGATGATCACGGTTCGGAGTTTTCGGGGACGTTTAATATTATATATTATGGTATGCCGAACATGACGATTGCACGAACAATGGCGTACCTATTTCTATTACAATAATTTCGCTCTCCGATTTATGCGAATCGCAGGGATAGATACGAATTTCCTGTCGGCGGTGAAAACTATCACACGTGATGTTTCTAATCATACTGTAACGGATTCATAACACCGTCCTGTATATTCATTATTAAATATTACATCAATCAACGTGATAACTAATATCTAAATGCTAATTATAGTTGGTGATGTCGATGTGGTCTATTTTCTATTCAGAAAACAATAAATAGTGGCTCGCACATATTAATATTATAATAATATTGACTTGGTAATTCATGTTAGTAAGACGTGATGATCATGTCGTATTAGTGTGTTACAATTACTATAAGGGACACATATCGACGGATATAAATTTTAATTTATTAGCATCGTGCAAGGGCGATGCTGCATGTAAATGACGTAATTATTATTGTGGTTAAGATGATAAAACGTATATTTGTTACAGTCCTTTATAGGTAGGTACTACTCGAGATACCCGAAATATGTGCCATGTATCGCGTATTTAATATCTGTGCCAGCGATGTGATGGTCTTGTCCGTCTCGAAATCCGGATATTTTTATGAAGTGATAGTAACCACTAACCACACATCATTATTATCATTTTATTGTTGAACTTTTGTTTCAAACACATTAGGCGCACCGCACGTTTTATTGTACCCAGGTTACCAATTCGGTATTATTATTACGAGAACGCATTGTGACTGCAACATTTCAATCGATAACCGCGTCTCGGACGAAGCTAGGAGACGAAGAAAAAACGGCACGAGCGCATGTGTATAGGTACGCGGGAAAAAAAAATCAAAATATATTACATAATATTAAACCGGAAAAACAATCTGGAAAACTTCGGCTGCCGCCGTCCCGGAGCCGGAGGGGACAAAGTATGCGGCGGGGGCGGGGGCGGCGACGTTAATTTCTCACAGCCGGGTAAAGTTTTCACCGTCTAGAGCGGAAAAGTTGCGGGACCGCGAAACCTACCACTGCAGGCGGTATAGGCCGCGGTATATATAATATTATAACCGGTATTGTAGACAGTGGCGTGGACCATTAATTCCCCGTGAGTTTTCATCGGAGAAACAACGGCTGTGCCGTGCCGGTGACGGATTAAAATTTCGGGTGCCGATCGTTTGTATAAAAGTTCTATACTCGAGCGCGCGAGGGCGGTGGTGGCGGTGGTGGTGGCGGGGGCGTGAAGGTGTGCGGATAATACGATCTAAATGAGCCGATTAGTTATCCCGAACGCTGCTCGCCCTTTTCCGACACCCCCCTCTGCCCACCTTGTCCGCGCGTCTTTCTATATATTGTGTGCGGGTAATTTATACCGCAGCTGAACGCTCCTCGGACAAACCCGACAATAATGTGGCGTACACCGGCAGTAACAGACGAAAGACGGAAAACTCGGAGAATTCCGGCGATGGATTGGCATCGAACCGGTTTTGACGGTGACAATAATTCGTAAGTTATGACGGACAACGTGTAGACAATACTATACTACTTGGATATACCATATAACTGTCTGCGTGCAATTGTGGTGTCCCACGCGTAAGTTACATCCGGAATGTTTGAAGAGACCTGTATTTAGCCTACAAGCATCACATCCCCCCCAAAAAGAATGTCATAAAAAAAATCGTATTAGTATATATCGTTACATTTTCAAATAATTAGTTAATGTCATATGAACACACTTAATGAAAATGCGTATTAAAAGCGATTATTTTTATTAAAACGACGAAATACTTTCTCATGCGTATTTGATCATCTGTTCGGTAAAAATTTCTCGAAATCCAACGATTGTTATAGGTAATTATTATAGTGATATTAATAGGTAGTATATATGCAAGTAATTTTTCAACTACAAGTACGACATTCGTGGGTTATTCTAATTATGATTGTCCCCCATGTACTATATTGTACCTATAGTAAATTACTATACAATTTAGTGCATATTGTTTAGTTACAATTTTTATAATTTCTTCTTCTTCTTCAAAAAAAAAAAATGAACTCTAATATTAATTAGCTTTGAAAGATAAAGTCTTATAAAATGTTTTGCATATATATAATACTATAATACAAATGTTAAGTGAAGGGTGACCGGTCACTAGTTCACCACTAGAGCAGTAAGTGTACTCTTTTTAATCCATCCCTCTGGATAGGATTTATAAAATAATTGATAGCGTCGAAAAGCGTCACGGATCCAAAACATTATTGGGTCTATATATATGTCTTAAATCAAAATTATAATCCGCTTTAATGCACTCACCTGCATCAATTTTGTCGCTATCTGCGGCGGCCGACCGTAAAATCTTCTTGAAATCGGAAGTCGACACTCGTCCGTCGGACGACAAATCGTACGAGGAAAAATAATCGGTGAGCGTCGGCCGACCGCTACCACCCGACAACGCCTTGTCACACTGTTCCGCGAACGCTTTGATTCGCGAGTCGATCATCGGCTGGCCGTAAACGCAAGTGGCCACCACCGTGGTCGCGCACTTTTTCACTTCCGTCCACGGCATGATGGTTAGTCGTCGGTTGGCCACGGCCTCCAGCGACGTGATGAGCTCGGCCACGCACACGCCCATGGTCGGCAACACTGTGATCACTGCACCCGCGTCCACCGCGGACGGCAAGAGGCTCATTTCTTGTCCGCCTCTGGTGTCCACCTCGGCAAAGCCGTCGTTGGCCATCGCGGCCGCGACCACCTGGATGTCGCACGCCAGCGCAGTCGGCCGGCCGGCGTCGTAGAGACCCATCACGGCGGCGCCCGCGGCCTTCGCGTCGTTCCGGTGACCGGGCAGTGACCTGTCTTGTAACCGGACGCCCGGCAGCGTGCTGGCGAATGACCGGTAACCGGCCGCCGCCAGCAACCCACGCCTCGTCCAGTAGTCGAGCTTTCGACGAGCGTACGGCACCACCGCCGCGAACACGACGAAAATCGCAAACGCCAACGCCTCCAACGTCCACGTGACGTACGATCCCATGACGGTTGTATTGGTACGACTGCTGCGCTATAGTTATCCGGAGCTGGTGCCAATCTGAAAACTAAAATTTTTCATCATCGGTATTTTTGGCATTAATTTCTCAAATAATTTTAACCCGATTTAACAGCGAACATATTTTCATTTTATTTTCCATCGGAAACATCACACGACGAGGTAGATTGCTTGTAAAGCTATGTACGCGCATTTCAATATATTCCCTGCACCTTCCTCGTTCCTTTTAGTAACCCGAGCAATGAGCAAGCAATTCTTTGGAGTTCCTTCGTAAGGGATACGAATTGTTTTGTTGTTAATACCCCCACTCTACCATAACCATGTGTTGCGTCTACGAATCTTACACTAACTATTTTAATTCTGTTATCCATGATTTCCCCGACCAATCCTATTTTTTTAGAGGTGAATTAAATATTCCCGAGATTTGTTGAGAATGCGTAGCCTACGATTACCTAACCTCTTTTTTATGTAATAATATGTTTTCCTTATATTTCAATGACGTTCGTCACTTATTGATTTTATAAACATTTATTGATGTCCAAAATTTGAATACCCATTTTTTGATTTAATATTTTCTTTCATATTCCCTGGATGTTGTGGACGCTTTTTGTCAATACTCTAAAGTTGAACCAAGTGTAATCAACACAAATTATTCAAACTATACAATCTTCCGGCTCATAATAATAACTATCTAATTCTGGATTTTGTGAATTTATTCTTTCTTGGTTTTCTTCCTATATACTTGGTTTATGGTCAACAATGCATAATATGATATTATGGTCTAAACTCTAAACTCTTTACTTCAACATTGTTACTCCTCTTTCCGGTGTACCACAACGATTCTTTCTCTCATATTATTTTCCCTCATTAAAATTGAGGTCTTCTCAAAGTTTCTGAATAATATATATGCAATTTTACATATCTATAAAAACTCTTCAAGATATTGAGTTTTTCCAATTCGACTTTAATCGCATTGTTCGTCAATCAAAGTCAAGAATTATTGTTAAATTTAAATTTAAATTGGTCATAAAGACAATAGGGAATCATTTTAATTTTAGTTTATCTTAATTATCTATTAATAAGAGGTATTATAGTTTATATTAGAGTAACTGAAACACGAAGCTTATCAAATCATTATTGTGCATAATACTTTTGATAATTATTACGTAAATGTATGTATTGATAGTTCAAAAATTATTTTGATGCACCTATAATTTATTATATATATTTATTAAATATTTTAAATTGTTTAATGCATAAGTGCATGTTTCAAAATTCATATTTTATGGTTCTTTAGTGCTCCTAAGTCCTTGATCTAGTAAATATATTTTATAACAATAAACGCTATAGTGAATCTAGTATCTACGTTGGTATTTATAGTAGAGCTTATAGTCACAAGTTCCTATAAACCATTTCAGTGCACGGAAGTTACCTCATACACGATATTATAATACCAGTTCTTTCTTGAATACATTACTATAATAGAATATAATAATGTTTGTTTAATAGTTACCTAAAATAATAATTTTTAATAATGCATTTTAAATAATCTTATATTGTAGTGCAGAGAGTCTATAGATTTCTTAGAGATGTTTTTTTTAGCACTGTATGTTATAATTTAAATAATAAAATGTTTGTATGGAATAGTATAAGGTATGGAATGTGATAATTTAAATGAGAAAAATGAACATTTTAATAAATAATTCAATTTAATAATAAAAATTTAAAGCTTTGTTCAGTATTACAATGGCCCAATAAAAAAGTTCGAATAATTAAATCCAACAGAAAATATGCAGCCCACATTTTTACCGGAAAATATAATGAATAACAATAATAATAATAATAAAATATGAAGAACGATTTAAACAGTTGGGCAGAAACCGAATTATTTAGTAGGCATAACTAAATAACTAAAGATTATCATTAGGCTCTCAGTGGTGGTCCCAAGTGTTTGAAAATGCCAACATTAATGTTGAATAAGCCTATTTTCTTAAATAAATATTTTATAGTGACATTTTTTTTTTAGGAATTGTTTCTTATTGATATTGATCAAATCAATGTTTTACTGAATAACTGTTTGTCATAGTATTTTATAGATGTGATTATAATTTCAAAAATGCTTATGAGAATATAATTATAGGTATTTTATAAATATTTCAGATTGTTATTGGTAATATTTGAATAATTATTTTGTTACTATAATAATTATTAATAATATTATTCTTTGGCCATCTCAAGTTCTTGATGGAGTAATTTCTCATCGCATGGTTGAAAAAAATATCCATATTATTGTTTTTCTGAATTAATTGTTGTTTACATCATTTCTGTGTAGTTATACTTCATACTCGATACACAAATGATAGTTCATTAAAAGTTATAACGTAGAAATTATTCTAATTATTGAAGTTTTTGTTGTATTTGCACCTTCAAGAAGTACCTTTCTTATATCATCTGTTATGGAGGTTTATCATTACAATCTTTATTTTTTTTTTTTATCATTATTATTAATAGTGCCCGATAATTAATCTCTCGTCAAAAATTGGATTAGCCTGTTTCCTCTTTTCATAAAATATACTGCACGTTATAATCCATTCTTAAGAACCCAACATTGAGTTAAAGCCTAGAATTATCTGAATTCCATGCACTCGATTACCTATAGATAGTGTTGAGTACCTAAAATATTGTAGGTAGCATGAAAAAAAATGTGATTAATCAAAGGCTCGAAAGATATTCTATGAAAAATTTAACTTTTTTTCATCCCTAAGTTATCCTAAGAGCTTAAGCACAATTCAACATACCTAGTAAATACTAATCATGTTAACTGTTGAATAGGTAAATTCGATAATTTAACATCTATTAAATTGCATGTGGTCCTTTAAGTTACAAAATTGCATAATGGATAAATAATACCTATATTAATTTGATTTTAGGTAACTGTATAGGCTGAACAATGAACACGAGTATCGATTGTAATTTTTAATTTAACAATAATTTTAGGTAGATAAATCGTGTAGAAATATATTTGTTTATAAGAAAGTATATTATGCGATATGACTATATATTTTTTTATTATTGAAAAATAAGGGAACTTCACACAAATTATTCTTCAAAATCAATATCTGCTTTTTTTTTTTTAAATTAAAATCGTCTATAACTATACTAACACACTTTTATAATATGAGAATATTATTCTTTATATTTCGTTATATTTTCGTACAGCACGAAAAACCGTTGTCTCCTGGGGGTCATGAATAATGCAGAATTTATTGTATTAAATCAAATCTAATCAGCACCGTTTACTTATTATTTATTTATGCGTGTAAACTGTAAATATATGTATAATTTTTGCGTTACTTGTATTAACCTGATCGTAATATTTGTTTGGAATTACATTTTATTTCTCACCCCAAACAATTATTCAATATTGTCTTGGACAAATTATTATTCAATTGCTCGATTATCGAAAACATAATTCGTGTATTTAGACGTTACGACGACGTCACTACGTATATATTAGACATTATGATTAATGGAACGAGGCAACGCGTGCATAATATAAGATTAGGACTTGGACCGATTTTCGACCACAGAAACCACATTCGCAGATGTCTGAAAGGATATTAAGCCCCTTCGTCGCCCATTAACCTTTCGAAGGCCCTATTAAAATAATGGGTAAACATCAGTTTTCAATCGAATCAGATTCAATTCGAAAACGACCGGGTTGTGTGTACAACGTTATATCGAAATATAGATCCTCCCCTAAAAAGTCGGCGAGAGAGTGACACGTATTATAATAATTTCGATCGTGTGATCACCGAAGTAATAATATTAATAGGTAATCGGCTGCTGATTGACGAAACTAAAAAAGCTGCCTCCCTTCGGGTTTTGGAAACAAAACCAAAACAAAATTCATCCTTTTCCATTTTTTTTTTTTTTTATCATTGTCCGTTAATGTTTACACTAACATTTATAATTGCAATGCACGTCCGGTGATGTACGAAACTCCAGATAATGGTCCGTATACGAGTGACAATGGTTTTGTTTAATTTTTCGGCCGAGTAATTGCGATTACCGTCGTATTAAACGAATTCGGCTGCAGCAACAATGTTTCGCCCGAATTATTATACCTACTAATAATTGTTCGTTTCGTTTCGTTAATAAATAATAAAAGTTGTGTTCAACAGAAAATTTAACGCCAACAAATCAAATGAACATGTAATACACAGAGTCGTAAGATAAAATCTGGTTTTGAAATGTTCCTGCGTGGATAATTTACAATATTTACGTAGGTACATGTGATATCGTTTTACACCATAACTCGTTTTACACGGTTGCGAAATGGTACGGAGCTAGAAAAAGGACACAAACAATTTTCATAATGAACACCATCAGCCATAATAATATGTACGAAGTTCTTTTTCCGCTTAATATTTTAATGAACAAACTATTTTACCATTTCAAAAATATAACAAAATTTTAATTAAATCCAGTACAATATTTATAAACTGTTAATGTTGCACGTTATTATTATGTGATTGTATTATAAAAAAATGTATGCACCCACATATAATATTATTCGTTCTAAAAGCATCAGCAGTCGGTGGGTATAAAAAAAATGTATTTCTTTATCGAATCGCGAGATTGGATTTGTGAATAGGCATAACTTATTGACAGTGTTTGCTGTAATAATTCAACATCTCACAAATAATTATTTCTTTTCAAGCAATGAAGTTTTCGTTTTACGTTACATCGCTAAATTTAGTGTACCTATAGTTTATGAATTCATGAAAAGTAAACCTAGTACTTACGGAAAAGTATATATAATTGGTTTGCCGACAAATAAACGAATTTCGATCTCACGGCAAAGAAAAAACACTGTTCATAGAGCAATCTAACAATTATTATTGCGTACAATTGGATTTCATACAAAAAATAAATACAAAACACCAATATTTATAGTTTCACATTTTACGCGGTAATTCGATTAATCTACAATAAGTAACTAGTTGTATAGTTAGGTATATAGCTTAAAAAATGTAAGACTTTTTC